AAGTATGGATAGCTCGAATCGAACTTCAAACAAACATAAAAATAAAGGGATAAGTGGGGATAGATACTCACTACAATCAAGTATGATCACTTGATTGATAAGAGTCTTGCTTCATCCACCTCGACCTTGTCCTCATCTTGGACACCATTTTCTCCTTCTTCTTCACTTTCCTCCGCTTGAGAAAACTCAAGATCTTCCTCCTCTTCAAACTCTTCTCTCGCATTCCCTTTCAAGTTGTTCTCGGGAAGGTGATCAATGAAACCTTCTTGGTAATCCTCACCACGAGAGCTCTCCGGGGTGAGTTCCTCTTCCTCCACATGGTTGTCATTAATCGCCCCTTCAACCTCCTCTTGATCTTCCAATTGTTTGAGGAGATGGTGCACACAAGCTTGTGCCACCTTCTCTTCTAGTGTCGAATCGAGAGGAGGGAGGGTTTGGAAATCCATGTCGGAGCTTGTTCTTCCAAAGTTCTAGTGGCTCGCCTCTCCGACTTCCTCTCTCCTGATATGATCTCAATTCCACTCTCGTATCAACTCAAACAAATCGCTCAAAGATCGGGTCAAGTTAATACGAACAAGGCTGGAAATTTCCTAAGTGTTAAGACAGTTTTGGGAAGGGTACTTTGGAGGGATGTTTCTCTCAAACCGTTCAATGGAAATGCAAGGTTAGGGTCTTATTTCGAACATTGGATGTTCCTCTATAGTTTGATGCATTTGGATCGTGGAAAGAAGCCAGGAGGGTCGTTTTTCAAGGCCATCAAAAACCTATCCTACATTCTGGAAATTGCCAGTTTTTGGCTAAGGCAGGGAGACAGTTTGAGGTACCAACTTTGAGCTCAAGTTCACGACGTTTGGGGCATGACCAACTGGATCTTGGAGTTGAGAATAAAAGAGTAAAACTTTCTAAACCAAGGGAAGGAATTGGCTAAGCTCGACTCAACCCAGAAGGTTGATTTCCAGAGCCACGAAGTTGACATTAAGGGCTGTTTTTGGGCAGTTAGCTTGTGAGAGAAGTTAGTTACTTGGGATGCAAGTTTAATTGTTTTCAATGTTTTCTTTTCCTTGTTTGATTCAGAATTGTTTCCTTGTTTGTTTAGGATTGTAATTAGGTTTCTTTGGTTATAAATACCCACACTTTGAGTTGTAAAAAGCAAGTTATTGAGATTAATCGAAAAGTACTCCGAGGAGTTTTTCTTGAGCTTGAGAGCTTGAGTTTGGTCTGGATTTTTTGTCCTAGACTTGCAGACTTCGAGATAAACACCATCCCATTGATCTCGTCATATTTTCTACCCAAACCAGCTCCTTCCCCGACGTGTTGAAGTTGCTAGCTTGGTTGTTCTTCCCACAAAACCATTCCCCTGCTACTACGAAACCATCACCCTTCCAAACCATCTATCCTAGGCTGCATATTCTGTGTCGAACCCTACCCAAGGCTCATCACCTCCTAGCCTCTTCGTGTGTAGAAGGAGCTCCTCCTATTCTGGTAGAAAGGTTGAGTCGAAAGGCTTGCAAATGGGAGGTCCATGCTAGAGCACCCTTCATCGGTGCCCCGGGCAAATCGCTCCACCATGAGCTCTAATTCGCTCTTTGGCTCCGGTTGTGGAGTGGCACATGGTCTAGAGATTTGTCCCACGAAAACCTCCCTGGCCGAATCCAACTTGGATTTCACCTCGAGTTATGGAGGGAAACCCTCTTGATATGAGGAAGCTTCTTGGTATCCCCATGAGCATGATTTCTCTTCTTGGAAGGGAGGTTGGTAGTAGATACCAGATCATTGACTTCCCCCATTTTGATCATCCCATGAAGTTCCGGGGTAACCACTCTCGGGTGGTGGTGGATACCCCCACACTTGGGTGAAATCATAAGGATCCATGATCCAATACCTACAAACACAAAAACACTAAAAAGGAAAATCAAACACACACAAACACCCTTCAAGCTAAGAGTGAGTCAGTAAACACTAAACGAAACAAAAGACAAGATAGAAAATGCTAGAGTAACACTAAGCGACTTTTTCAATGTAATGGACTGTTGTTCCCCGACAACGGCGCCACAAACTTGATTCGCCACGGATACACAACATTTTAAATCTCGACTAGAGCCCAAGTTGTTAAACTCTAGCCGGGTGTAGTATATGGTAAGTATGTTTTAATTATCAAACCTGGGTCGGTCCATGTACCCCTACTTCAATCGCTTAGTTTGTTATCTAGCCTGGTATTGCTCCCCCAGCTAAAAGTTATGATTTGTTGGATTGAATGGTCATGTGTGGTAAGGTGGTTTCAAACCGTAGGGAAGTGCAACAAGTAACCAAGCGCCACTCTCTCGGTCTTTAGGTCGAGGGTAGGGAATTCGATTCAAGCCACCAACATGACTCTCTTGACCTATTGGCTAAGGGTTGCCAAGACTTCACCCTCGAATCAGAGTTCGGACGACCACCCACAACAACCCTAGGTGCTAATACAAAATAAGAGGCGTACCCTACATTAACCTAAATACTAGACAATGAATTGCCTAAGAAAACCGAGCTTTCAAGCCTCTTTTAAAGAAAGGAAGGGGGTTTTCTCTCTACCTAGGCTAGAATGGCAATTAGATTGATAGGCTTTCACATAACACAATCATTCATAAAAATATCTCCACAATCACATTAGCCACAGCCACACACAAATCATTCAATCCATACAAACATTCACATAATTGTAGCTAGGGTTTACAAACACCCAAGTGAATAGGTAGGCTATTCCATAGCTAGGCAAAGGAAAACAAGGAAAAGGAGAGAAAGAACCATGAAGTGATGAAAATCTTTCCTCCTTGTTGCCTGAATCTCCCTTGAGAAGAAGAAACCTTCACTCCTCTAGCTTGAAATGAGCCCAATCTTCTTTTTCCTTCTTTGAATGACACTTTCTCTTTCTAGAATAGGAAGATGAAACTCTAATCTCTCACTAGAAATCCTCCTTTATTATGAAACTAAAACCCTAGAAAAAGACCCATTTCTCCTTCATCTCACTTCCCTTTTTATACCCAGATCAGGCTCAGATAACGGTCTCAGTTCACGACCGTGAACTCAAGGCGGGGACCGTGATCTCGGGCCAAAACGCGCCGCTTTACTAACTCAGTTCATGGTCATTGGCTTGAGTTCACGGTCTTACGACCGTGAACTGGCTTGAATCCAATGAGACCAAAAACTTCTCTAGAACCTCCGCACTTCACGGTCTCGGGGCAATTGTCACGGTCTCTTTGGACTTTTCTTCACTTCTTCGTGCTTTTCGACCTCCAATCGACCCGAAACTCGTCCTCAACCTTCCCACAAGAGATAGGACTTGAAATATGACAAAACAAGTACCCCCTAGCGTAAAATAGGTCGAGAGACAATTAAATGTAAAGTCAAACTATCAAGAAATGAGGGGTAAAATGTGTGCATTTAGATCCGAATCAAGAATCTTCTTAAGGAAATCAAAAGTAATAACTTATGATTACACCTTCCTTTAATAGAGACAATTAACCCCATTGATAAAAGTTTCCTTCAATACCAGAAATCAATCCGATTGATTGAAACCTTCCGTTAGTACGAGTAATTGTTCTGATCATGAAAGATTACTTCAATATGGAAAATCAATCCAATTGATTGGAACTTTCCGTTAACTTGGTCAATTAAGTCTGATTGAAGAATTCATCTGAATTAGTTTCACTTACATTTTTTCAAGAATTTTCCTTTAGCTTTTACCAACTATTCGCATTTCTCAACACAACTCGCACTACCATTTCCGTTCATCACTTGTACCAATATAATTCACTACGTGAACAATCAGTAATAATTTAGGACGTGGACCAAGCGTAGAATTACTATATATAAGTAAAACTTACTCATTATTCTGCATTTCCATTCCACGATTATACTTGGTTGTAGTTTGGTGTTGTGTTTTAGCGAGTCAGCTCTCCAATTTAAGTCACTCTCGTCTCTCACTCAATATATTGTTATTTTCATGAACCAAAAAACATACACTCTCATTAGTCATCTGTCAACCTCCAATCCATCGATTTAAGATTTACCAATGACAATAAATTGATATATCACCATCTCCTCCATTCTCCTTATCCATGTCCTGGCTCTAGACGAAGTCATGACCCTTTGGCTAGTCTCTTTGCGCTAAATGGGAACCTATAATGAATCTGTTCAATGGAGACTTGATTAAATCCAATCAATGACGAGTTTGATTAGTTATTTTAAGACTTTTCTCACCCCAAATTCTCATAACCAAAAATTTTAATCACGAAGTTAACTTAAACGTACAAACCAACACTATATAAAATGCTCCGAAATTAGGGCTGTTCAAACCATTATTTATTTACATATTTGATTATTATTTGCAAAGTTAATTAGTTTCGTATTCGTATTATTGATTGAGATAGCAAAATATTGTAATATTGAAATACCAAATTTATTTTGAGATTGGTATTATTGTGATTGATTTTATGGTGTGATTAGATACTCAAAATTTTAATATTGGATTTTTCTAAAAAAAAATTAATATTTGATAACGAGATACCATTACCGAACCAATTTCCACCTTACTCGTATCCGATTTCCGATGGCACATCCCCAAATGGGTAATTGATCAAAATGGTCACACAAGTTAGACCAAGTAACAAAATGTTCACAAACACTTAAAACGTAACAAAAAGGTCATGCAAGTATCATGTTGTAACAAAACAGCCATTCCATGTATTTCCATAACCAGTTTGCTTGCTCTAAATAAGAAGCAATTTCACAAGTTGGTTAGGTGGTTGATATTTTGTTATCAATTTGCAGTGTTGTCATCAAACTAATCAATTATTTTGGATGAAAATATGACTAAAAAGATATAAAATGACCTTTTTGTTACGTTTTAAACATTTGTGACTATTTTGTTACTGATCTAAATCTATGTGACCATTTTGATTAATTACCCCAAATGCATGGAATATTCGAATTGTTTTCTTTTTATTAGGAGATTTTATTTTAGTTTTCCCCCCGATCCCAAACCTCGAATTTCTATCCAACCGCTTTCGTCAAATCCCTTCTCTGATTCTGCTGCAATTTCTCTAAGATCGCTCTGTCAATTCGTGGCGAAGGTACGCTTATCTCTCACTTGTCTGAATTTAACTCGGAATTTCCTCGAAGATGTGGATCTGCTTGACCCGTCCCTGTTTCTTGGACCAATTTCAAATTCGATTTTGGGGGAAATTTGTCGCTCTATTTCGTCCCCGCTGGAGCTGTTCATGTAAGTTAGTGTAGGTAATCCTTGAAATGTTTGCAGAAACTTGTTGGAAGTGAAATCATGAAGTTCTTAGAGTACACTCCGCTTGAACGGTAAATATAAATGCTGGGACACTTACTTTCTTTGAATTTGTAATCGTAGTAGGGATGGGCTTCCATCTCTCGTTATGTTTCTTCTCCTCTCTTTGATGTGAAAATGAAATGGGGTGTCTTTTGCTGGCTGGTGGATTGCAGGATAAATGGTTTTCTGCACCATTTGAATCTTGGAGAGTGCACCATCAAAGGGTCCCTTGAGGCCTACTCTTGTAAGTTCTTTGCCCTCACACGTCATGTTTCATATTGAACCGTCTTCCACTTCTGTTCTCATCCAAGAATGATATTATGTATACCTTGGTTTCTGGTGTTTTCTCAAGGCAAGCACGCTGGATCTGACAAAAAGCTTTCTCTCAGTTTGGAGAATGAGGTAGTTTGCTCTTTATTGCGAATCTTTTTGAAGACAATACTGGTAGGTGTAGGAATCATGAAAAAGATGCTTGATTACTGTGATTAGGATTCCTTCTAGGACATGGGTCATGTCCTGTTCTCTGAATGAATTGCGATAACCATAGGAGCAAATTGTATTGAGTAGGTTTTTCTTCTTTGTTTTACAGTTTTAAGGGCTCTATTTATGTACTTGTAGCAAATATGGTCTGTGTCTGATATCTGCAAGGAAAGCATTTAGAAATCCCAATAAAGTATGCACTGATATGGTGTATGTAGGTTTCCTTAAAAATTATGATGTGAAAGTGTCTGGTCTCTGCCACGAACAAGGGCTTGGTCAAGTGGTAATACCATTACCTTAAAAGATACTTCTACATTTTCTTGTTTCAGATCCTTGATTATCTTGGGAAGTCTTCAGATACAGATTCGTTTTCGCCTGCTGAATACCTTTTGAGCAGATCCAGGTGGTGAATGCTACATAGATTTGGTTTACAGAGTATGAGTTCTTGTTATGTTTACTGGTCATCTATTGTTGCTGTTTCAGCCGGAAGACTTTGATTTACCTTGTTCTGACACTCTCTCGCATGTATCCAGACTGTGACTTCAGGTAACTCTGTACTTTACTCCTCATCCTATATGCAGTTTCCACTTGATGATAAAAAGAGGATTATGGTAATGCCACTGTCAGCTTTTTGGGCGACATGGTAACCCGCTTTATAATCTTCTTTTCATTTGCATTGGGAGTGTTGTCACATGGCATGACAGACAGTTCAATTTGGCTGTTGCTCTAGGATGAGCTGAGAGTTCAAGTCTCTCCATTTCCCAAGTCTAACTCCGCAGTTTCTTATTTATATTTGTTTTCTTGTGTTGTTCGACATTTGCATGATTAAGATTTGGGCATGGGAGGAAATACCATCTTGTCATTTTGCTATTCTCGATTTTATTGGATCTTTTGTACTTTGCTACACAGTGCCATGAAAGCTCATCAGTTCTTCACAGAGGAAACTTGGGAGACTTTTAAGCAGATTTTTGATAACTACATGATTGGAGCATCAAAGGTAGTAGCTTATTATGTTCGGCTTCTGCTGTTTTAAGTGACGTACACTTGATTGACTGCAGAATGGATATGTATGGCTGCCTTCACTATCTTACATAGAAATTGCCTACACATATCTCAATACAGGAGTCATGTGCTTTTCTGTTTCGATTTTATTGGATTGTCCTCGACCACACCGTCACAGTAAAGCTTCCATTATTCTCGCATTTATATTATGTATATGTTACCCGCAATTGTGTCCTTAAAATGAGGTTGGTTTGCACTACATTTCATTTGGAAAACGGCGTATCAGTTTCTTACTTTGACTGGAGACTCTCTTGCTTGCATGTCTTTTTTGCTATGTCTGTTGGTCTATTATTCTTCTTGTGTTGTGTGGATGGTAGGGAATGTATAGTTTCTTTCTTTCTATCGAATGATTGTTTTCATTTGCCTAGGAATGGGTGGAGGAAAATGGGGACACTTCCTTGCTAGAAGCATTATACAGAGCTCTAGACGAGGTAAGATCTTTTCCACTTGTTTGGAAGAAGGTGATGTGGTAGGCCATCCCAAGAGAAATTTCTGATACATGGTTGGTGATGCAGGTTGTAAATCTACCTGAGTGTGAAATCTACAGTTATGACCCAGACTCTGATGCAGACCCGTTTCTAGAGAAGGGTGCAATGTCAGTACCTGTTTCCTTCCCTATACTTTACTGGGTTATTTCTTGCTAGAACATGATGCCTAACTTAGTAACTTGATTGTATATGTTGTATTTAGCTGGTCTTTCAGCTTCTTCTTCTACAATAGAAAGCTAAAGCGGGTTGTGACCTTCTGTTTCTGCTGTGTAAGGTAAATCTCGTGAGCTGGCCTTTCAGTTTCTTCCTGCAATATCCAGTGATCTCATATTTGTCTCATATACTGTTGGTTTGTGCAGTAACTTGATGGGCATAGATAACTTAAGTAACGAGGAAGATGGAGAAATATTTGATGACATGGATATGTGAAGTTCCAGTTAGCTGTGGATAAGGCTGTGGTTATGCTGCAAATACCCTTCTGACATCCTGTTTCATCTGTAGTTCACCCGTTCGGTAGTTCCATGCTCATGGCACCACCGTGATAGGATATCACTCAACTCGTTTTTTTTTTCTTTCACAGTCCGCTTGATGGCTGTTGTGCTGTACTGAAGAAAGGAGGATGATGTCATGTCTATACAATTGTGTGTCAGCATGTCATCCTAGCTTATTGTTCGGTAAATAAGTGAGTGTTAGCTTTAGCCTTAAGTCTTCTATTTGTCTTTGCAAGAAAAGGTAATTAGCTGTTTGTAATGTGTGTATTATAATTATGGATGGAATGCAAGTGTTGGGATATGCATGTCCTAGTGGAGTTGTAGTTTTGCTGACAAAGGAGAAAGATTAACTATCAATATTCTTGGGGGCCTGTCAGTGCTAATCGCTGATAGAACCCAACCTTCACTAGCTGAGTTCTACCTAATGAGTTTACGTGATTTTTTTTTTGAAAGAAAGTTTACGTGATTTACTTGAGTCTGGTTCATCAACTCATTTGTGACAATACTCTAGGCAATAACTTATTACCGCCGCCAATAGTCAGGATTTTGTTTAAAGTGGGTCGACTTAGAAGATTAAAAATGATAAATAGTTTTTGTTAACTTTGTTAATCATTAATTAAGGGTTAAAGACACATTTGGTCACTGAGATTACAAAATCGGGACATGTTTAGTCACTAGAAAAATTTAATATCAAATTTGGTCACTACAATTACTAAAACTGGACGCATTTAGTCACTCGCCGTTAGTCTCCGTCCAACTCCGTTAATGAAGTCCGTTAAGTGCTGATGTGGCAAACAGAATTGCCTAATCAGCCGGATATTAACCCAACAAAAATAAAACCCGACCCGCCACGTCATTATTACTCGCCACCTCATTAAAACCAACCCAACCCAACCCAACCCATCACCCAACCCTACCCAACCCTTCTTCCTCCTTCCTCCCCAACCCAATTTAGGGATTCTATTCGGAGATCCCCTGCCGCCGTCGCCACTCTCTCCGCCCTGTTGATTTTCATCCTTGAACAAAAATCCTCCCTGAATCTTTTCCGGTAATTCTCCCCTGAATTCGCCGCTCCACCGCCGCCGCTATCTCCGCCGCTGGCGCTCGGCAGAGCCTCCGCGATTTGATCCGCCGACGACAACATATGCTGGTGGTGGTGGTGGAATCCCAGATGCGCGGCGGAAAACCGTTCCTCGTAATGTTGCTGCTGCTGCGCCGCCGCCAGAGCAAGCGCCCCGTGAAACGAATGCAGCGGCGCCGATTTCGACGGCGGAGCGGAGAGAGTTGATCCGCTGCTCCGCAGCGAGACATTCAGGGTGGAGAAATTGGCCGGGATGGTGCCCGTCCCCGTCGCCGCGATAATCGCCGGCTCCGCCTGCTGCAGCAGCCACTCGATCGTCTCCCCGTCCGATTTGTGACCCAATTCCCTCGTCAATTGGAAAACCCTCGCCGCGCAGGCGGCCGGCATCCGATCGAAGGCACCTCACGCACATGTTGGCCGCGTTCGGCTGCATTCTGATGCCGCATCTGCAGCAGAGCACCGTACCAATCGTCTGTTGGACATTGAACATCCCTTTATCTTCATCCATCGCGGACGATCCTCTGCTCAAACACACAACGGAAAACAAGCACACACCCACAACGCTTAGTTCTCCAAGCTCGATTAAACCCTAAAACACAGTAAGTTGCAGAAAATGAAAAATCGCCTCCTCCCTCAATCAAAACCCCTCTCCACCGTATCAGCGATGAAACCCAATCGAGGGGGATTTCATCAAGACTCAGAAAAACTTCAATCGTTCCGCAGAGTAATTGAAATAGCATAACGGGGAAACAAGGAAATCGAACATGAAAGCATACCGAGTCCGAATCCGTGGAACAGAACCAGATGAATCGAAAAAGACCAAGATTTCACGCACCTCGAAGCTTGAATCGGCGTCGGAGGAAATCAAGAGGCAGAGAGGAAGAGGGGGGAGGTGAACAAGAAGAAGAAGAAGGAGAGCAAGAGTAGCTTCCTGAATCTTCACCACCGAGCTCCGAGCCGGCACCGCCACATTCCTCAAGAAGATGAAGGAAGGGCGGCCGGCAGATTAATGGGGAAAACCCTAAATTGGGTTGGGGAGGAAGGAGGAAGAAGGGTTGGGTAGGGTTGGGTGATGGGTTGGGTTGGGTTGGGTTGGTTTTAATGAGGTGGCGGGTTATAATGACGTGGCGGGTCGGGTTTTATTTTTGTTGGGTTAATATCCGGCTGATTAGGCAATTCTGTTTGCCACATCAGCACTTAACGGACTTCATTAATGGAGTTGGACGGAGACTAACGGCGAGTGACTAAATGCGTCCAGTTTTAGTAATTGTAGTGACCAAATTTGATATTAAATTTTTCTAGTGACTAAACATGTCCCGATTTTGTAATCTCAGTGACCAAATGTGTCTTTAACCCCATTAATTAATTAGTTAGTTGTTCTTTTTCGAATGATGTTCTTTGTCACGAACTATTTAGTATCAATAACTCGAAACAATAATTCATGATTTAGTTAGCTTTTATCTTTAGAATGATGTTCTTCGATCTTCAATCGGTGGATTTTGGCATTTTGCTCTTTGAACTAATATCACTCTGTGTGCCAAATAATAATAATGTTGTTTGGTAACCCGTAGAAGTAAGGGTTTGTTTGCTTGATGGATTTAGTGAGAGATTTGGTGAGAGATTTGGATCTATTATGTACTTTGTCCAAAATTCATTGTTTGCTTTATGCTTTTAGGGGCAACAAATTCGGTGGTCCCATGAACTTTAAGGGTCCAATTTCGTGGACTCCGTAGACTTGCAAGTTCCACCTATTTAGGTGGGAATTGATTATGAACTTTGAAGTCCATCATTTAAGATCAAACTACCTCTCCTATTTCATTTATCTTCTCATACAATGAGGGCAATAATAAAGGTAAATTTCACTTCATACATACAAATCTAATTAACCAATGTCATCATGAAATCTATGAAACAAACAATGATATTTTTCAAGTTCATGATGAACCCAAAACCCTCATATATCCATACTTTTACAAAATCTAAATTTTATTAAAACCTTCATTTTTCAAATATACGGAAGCACACAATTCAAAAGTGAATTGAACTCTTAATCTAGCTAAAGTTAAACAAACAAGGCCCAAATTGTAATGTTAGTTCACATAACAATCAAGCAAAGCCCAAATCATCCTCACCCAAAAGCCTACAAACAAACTATCAAAATAATGACTCAAGTCAAGTCCCCAGCTAAACAGAACACTGTCGTTTAACTAAGAACACAAGTTTTGCGTGGAGATGATGTATTTCTCGATCAATCAAACCCTTTCCCCTGTAGGTTAGTATTGGAAGAACACAAAGAATAGAGACCAAAATTCCCAGCAAAGAAATTAGAAATGAAAGCAGCACCAAAACATCAAGAATTTTACGTGGTTCCAGCATCACAGTTAAACCCAAGGTGGTGCAGCTGACCCACCTTGGGCTGCTGTGGCGCCGCCACTAATTGCAGGAGCCAACAAAGCCACCATACTCTATATATAAACACACTATATATACTGTTGATTATCGATATCAGTAAAGTGCTTGGATTCCTTAACCTATATGGTGCTGGAGCGAGCTTTGTGCTTAATCCACAAATCCTAAATTCTGCCTTCGGCCAAAGGTTACCCAGTATAAAGAACCTAATTTGAGTTCAACTAAACGAGGGACATGGTTGGATTTAGTTGCTTATTCATTCCCCAGAGGCGCAAAAGTTAAAATACTAACAAGCCCTTTTGTTAGCAGATACTAACTCATATCTAAAATGGCTGAATTAGTATCCACCTTATAGACAAAATTATGGCTACTGAAAATATTTCGATAAAACTAGAAAAATTAGGGGAAAAAATAGATGAATATCAAGAAAATCTAATAAATATAATAGAAGACAATAATAAACAATTAAGATCAATATTAGAATATCAAGGTAATGAAAAACAAAAAATAATAATTAAATTAGATAATAAAAGGAGCATTACAATTGAAGATATAAAAGAATATTTGAATGAGCATAAATCAGGAAAATCTAGCCCATTAACTATCATGGCACCCTACAAACTTCTATGACTAGTATTGACGAACAAATTAATAAATTAAATGATTTACTAGCCGTAATTACTATTGAATCAGAACCAGAGATAGAAGAAAATATAGAAAACGATAAAATAGTTCTTGATTATAGTAGCGACGAAAACCCCTATAAAAATTACACAAATGCAAATTACACAAAAACTGAAACTGAGGATCAAGCTGAAACATCACGAAAGCGTGATTTTAATGACTATAAAGATGGTCAACTATTTTTTTATGAATACTTATATAAAAATTCGTATACACCTCGCAAAGGGGGAGGATGGAGTAAAATACCTCAATCTTACATACCAAAATATTCCAACACTAGTTTTAACAGTCCTGATATATTAGATCTTGATTGTTGCGTCAATCCATTAAAAAAATTAGAAGACTGGAAAAATCGAACAGGATTACTAATACAAACTAATGAAGATCTAAAGAAATTACACCCTAATGAAATGTTTAATTTCTTAATATATAAAACAACTGGGGCAGTTTATCATTATCTTAACAACATGGATATTCCTACTAAGACAATGTTATATGGAACAACGGATGCGACGAATACCTTTGAAAAAGTCTTAAATGCAATAACTCATGAATTCTTAGGACGACATCCTCGAGAAGATAAACCAAACACAACCATAAGTCAACAAGCTATTTGGCATTTAACTAATCTTAGAATCTGCAACATGTGCTTCTTAGAACCATTTATTTGTGAATTCATAACATACTATTATCAAGTCACCCCTTCGATAAGAAAAGAGCTAGATAAATTACTCTATGCTAAATTACCACTTAATGTCTCTGAAAAAGTCGAAGCTATCTTTAATGAAACTTTGACAAAAGAAGAAATACCAGATACATTAGGAGGACGAATATTAGTTTTACAAGAATGGCATAAACGAGCTTGTAATAAGGAAAAAATAAAGAAACAAGCTAAAATTAAACTCTGTTGTGAAGAAACAATGGACAGAGTTGGAAAGTATGGGTGTAATGATGATCGTAAGATCATTAAAACTCGAAAAAATATAGAAATTATAAAAAAATGGAGAAAAATACCTTATAAAGAATATAGAAAAAATAGGTTTAGAAAACCAAATAAATATTTCAGAAATAGAAAACAGTTTAAACAAAAATCAAGACAACAAGAATACTGTCCTAAGGGAAAAACAAATTGTAGATGTTGGTTATGTAACGAAGAAGGACATTACGCAAATAAATGTCCTAAGAAAAATACTAACACTAGAAAACAAGAAGTCCTTAGATTAGCTTACGATTGTGGTTTTGAACCAATCGAAGAAACAG